GCACGAACGAGGTCCATGTCAATATCAGCGGCTGCCTTAATCAAGGATGTCTTGAGTGACTCCAAATTGGGATGAAGCTTTGAGCACGCCTTTTCCTCCAAGTGTTGCCATATCTTGTAATCTGACGGATTCAAATCTGGACTGGAGGAGGGCCAGTCTTCGTGCCGGATGAAGTCGATTTCACGCGCCGCCAGCCAGTCTTGTGGGCTCTTCGCTCTATGAGCTGGCGCCGAATCTTGTTGGAATACCCAGTGCCTGTTATTGAACATGGTATGAGAAACAGGTTCCACAAGGTTCGTCAGGACTGTATTTTGATACACAACTGCATTCGTTTTTACACCTTTCTCACAAAAATGTACCTCTGTTAAGCCCCAATAAGAAACTCCCAACCATACCATGAGCGAGGATGGAAAATGACCTCGTTGGACACGCGGAATACGGTTGCTCGCTTCTTCACTACTGTGTGCGTACACCTTATCATTTTGTTTGTTGTAGCTCTCTTCTACGGTAAAAATTTTTTCATCCGAAAAAAGAATTTCCCGATATTTTTTTCCCGCGTACCGCTTCAACAAAGCGCGGCATCTCTTCAGTCTCAGGTCCATTAGACGAGCATTCAAACGATGTCCTGTTTTTCTTCGATATGCCCGAAGCCCTAAGTCTTCATTTAACACCCTTTTCACCGTGGTTCTGCTTAACCCCATCTGAAGGGCCAACAGTTTCTGCTTACGTTTGGGATTTCTTTGAATTCGCGCCTTCACAGCTTTTATCACTGCTGGAGTCCTAACAGACCGAGGGCGACCACTTCTTGACCTGTCATCTACACTAGAGTCTTCATTGTATCGTTTGATGGTACGATAAATGAATCTTTTGGTTATATTCAAATTTTTCAGTATGTTAAAAATTTGAATTGGCGCGTAACCGCAACGATGCAACGCAATAACTGCAACACGGTCTTCTTTAAGCGTCCACTCCATATTTAAATATGAGTAAAATTCTAAAAGTATACATTTCACAATTCTAAAAGTATACAAAAGTATCATGAACAATTGGAAATTCGAATTCAATAAACTTTTTTGTAGCCAGCATTCTAAAAGAAAAGTTTTTACTGTGTGACAATACTTATGACCTGACTAGGTATATATGAGATTATGTATATAGATAGATATACACGAAGTAAAAAAGTGAAAAATTTTACAGAAATATAGAATCAAAATTATTATTACTAACACAAATTATCTATGTTAGTCTCGCTAAAACTCGAGAACGGCTAGACCGACTTGGCTAATTTTGAGCTTGAATTATTTGTAGAAATCCAGAGAAGGTTTAAAAGGTAGATAAATTTCAAAATTCGTTTTGTTTGTTTTGAGTTAATGTTATACAAAAGTTTAAGTCTTTTATTTATCGATAGAGGCACTACGAAGTCTGCCGGGTCAGCTAGTTAAAAATAAAATAAGCAGTACACGTCCTTACGGATCCATCAGATCCAATAACCCTTGCATTAGACGCCTTCAGCTCTAACACGAGGAGCCGACTTAGGAACCCCGGTAACCGTACTCGTCGAACTGGGCAAGGGGCTCCTCATGCAACGTAATTCATGCATCAGTCCGATGAGTTTCTCTCCGGATCTTCTCAGCGGGTCGCAATTCCGATCCGGTAGTAGACTCATCCGCGAATCAGCTTCTCTCGAGTTGTTAGGTCTTCTTCGGAGGTACTCGAGCAGCTGTTAGCTAATACCACCCCTCCTGGCTGAGCCTTTGCTCGCCCACCTGTCCTGGTGAAACTGGAAAGGCCTCGGGGCCACCAGTAAATACTCAATAAAAAAAAAATTACCGTATAAGAATTTATTGCAATATCAATAATAATAATAATTTTTAATACATACGTGTCAAATTGTTAACGCTATCTTTTAAAATCAGCTAAAACTAACTTGAATCTTGACATGTCAATGATTGTGATCGAATTTCGATCATTGGGCGACACTATATGATACAATTATTCGCAGGCTACGATACTTTGGCGTCCGTATTCTGAGATTATCTTTTGCTCGCCTCGAAGTCATAAACTAGATTATCCCATTCAAACCTTTATATTTAATAGCATTAGAACGTATATACATCAGATTGATCTCGTTGACATAGTTAGGTTGCAAGTTGTACGGGGCTTAATCTGCTGAGAATTGGAAGATATCGGGCGATTGAGAATCCAAGAAAAATATAAAAACTACTTCTGAATATTTAGAGGTTAAACTTGTACGTAAATAAGAAAAACACTTAGCTATTATTAAAAAGCTAAGTTAACCTATTGCTCACATTTTATTACCCAAAATTGTACACTTAGCTAAATATGACAAGCGCGTGTTATTTTGTTATAAATATTCGAGAATTATTTGTGTAAACAATCTATTACAGCAAATAACATATTTTTAAATAAGTTGTAGCCTATATTGGATCGATTGGAAGAAATATTCTGTTGCTGCTAGAACAAAAACTAAACAGAACTAATAGGAATTAACATTAGCATTAACATAATTAATGGAGTAGACTATCAATCTATTATAACTCCGGCCACAAATAGAAATCTCTGTTAGATTAGATAAGTTTCCGACGACTTTGCTTGTAGACTGTAAGAAATTTGACAGCTTAAAAGTTAAATTAAGTTCATTTCTGTCATAATCTGTCGTTTAAACAAATTTGGGTAAAGGACATTGAAATTATTAGATATTGGGAAAGTCTCGTGGTTACGGAGTCACGTAATTACACTTACGTTATATTTGAAATAATATTATCGATATATTAATACGTGAAGCAAAAACTTTGTATCCCTTTTTACGAAAATTGCGCGGACGGAGGAGTGTGAAATTTTCCACACTTATAGAGAATATAGAGAAGAAGTCCACAATGCTAATATTTTTTTAAGATAATGCATAAAAGATACATTAAATCAATAAAGAAAACATTACACACACTACAATCTATTTGACACAACACATACGTATAAAAGTACTCTTTGTAAATTGTCAATTGTGAAACTTTTGTTATTCTTTAAAGTCTGTGGTTAAATTTAGAATAGATTAATATTGTTTGTCTTTAACATTATTTGTCTATAGTGTGGTCTTGGCGAAATCTGTGATTATAGAAGTACAATAGAACCACTATGAATGTTCAAACTTATAATTTCAATTAATTATAGTCGATTTGCGACTACTGCGGGGACCACTAGTAGTTAATAACTACTTGAAAGAAAACTTTTTTGGTTTTTCTGTCACACATAGTTGCGATAAAACACAGCAATACATCCCGGATTTGTGATCGTAGTGCTATAAAATATCCAAATTTAAAATGTCATTCGCTTTTTTCCCCCCTTTTTTGTTACCTAAGCTGATAGTCTTAGAGGTTTATGCCAGCGTCACCGAGAGAGTAAGTGAGCTCACGGGGCTCTAACCTGGTGACATTGCTAACACTAGCCGTAGCAAGAGCGGTGGTTCGCGGATTCAACAGCCGGATCGAAAACGCGACCCACTGAGAAGATCCGGCAAGAAACTGAGTGGGTAAAATATAATCACGTGTGTCACGTGTTATATATGACGAAATAACTGTAATTTGATTATTTTTAGATATCCTAAATCCAAATTAATAGAATGCAGATTACCGTATAATATAAACAACAAAGCGTACAATTATTTACCATGAGTCATGCGGTTCAAGATTTTAAATATAATCAATATACAGACACACTCATGTATGTCATTTTCACTGGTGGTAGGACCTCTTGTGAGTCCGCACGAGTAGGCACCACCGCCCCGCCTATTTCTGCCGTGAAGCAGTAATGCGTTTCGGATAGAAGGGTGGGGCAGCCGTTGTAACTTACTTGAGACCTAAGAACTTATATCTCAAGGTGGGTGGCGCATTTACATTGTGGATGTCTATGGGCTCCAGTAACCACTTAACACCAGGTGGGCTGTGAGCTCGTCCACCCATCTAAGCAATAAAAAATAATAAAAAAACTCATGTATAAAACGTAAATATATTATACTTAAAAGATGACGTTTAGATTTCATGTATAAAACGTATATGATGCTTAAAAGAGACGTTTATTGGATCTTAAATGCAAAGTTACATAGTAAAGTAGACTAGATTGCTTACTGTTCTGTGGAAGAGTAATATCTCTTCGCACTTTTAACTCACCTATGTTAATAACGAAGTTCTTGTGCTTTTGTTGAAACAAGTGTATTTGTTCATGAAACTATTGCAGATTTATTTTGTTAAATATATAGATCCGAATGGATTTTGTGAAAGACGAGATTTGCGTGAGAAAGGTGTGAGTACAGATATGACGCATGAAAAGATCTAAATGGTAAAAAAGTCAAACCTTCCCAAGCTCCCGTAATTCTCGAAATTATGCTGATAACGCCTCAAAAGAGCCCTAAGCGATAGGCAGCATGTCTCACGCGTGCTTGATTTGCATTTTTTTTTTTATTGCTTGGACGGGTGGACGATCTCACGGCCCACCTGATGTGATTACCGGAGCCCATAGACACCTACAATGTAAATGTCGCCACCCGCCTTGAGACATGAGTTGTAAGGTCTCACTTTTAACAGTACAGCGGCTGCCCCGCTCTTCAAACCGAAACGCATTACTGCTTCACGGCAGAAAAAAGCAGGGTGGTGGTACCGACCCGTGCGAACTCACAAGACGTCCTACCATCAGTAATAAAATGTAACCAGTAGTTCTCTTAAATCTACTCATTGTAAGGTGTTTCTTTTGTCAGTTAAGTGCGGTAGGCAGCGGCTTGGCTCTGCCCTTGGCATTGCTGAAGTCCATGGGCGACGGTAACCACTCACCATCAGGTGGGCCGTATGCTCGTCTGCCTACAAAGGCAATAAAAAAAAATAAAAAAATCTGCTTTTAAGGTATTAAAACTGATGCCGTAGGGCAGAGTAGCGTAACTAGCCTAAAAGATTTTAGTCATTCAATTTCAAATTTACTTCTATTTAACTCAGAGAATGGAAAGAGAAGGTAGAGGTTGAAGAAAACGAAGGAAACGATACGATAAATTATAAGAAAATCGACGTATTCCTCTTCAAACCCGAGCTGTCTGGTCCAGGACTGACGGGAGAAGAAGTCATCGTGATGCCTAATATCTTTATGATGGTAAGATTTTACTGCTACTCCCAAATGAGCCAACTGTGGTGTTGAATTCTTACTCACTAGGTGAGAATTTGACCAAATCTCTAGGTTAATTTTCGTGAAAAAAATCCGTGCGAAAATTAAATATAACTTTTTAGGAGAAGATCGATGTTATTTAAGCGTACAATAATACATACACTACATAAACGACATGCTACCTCTGGGTTACTTACTACCTATCTAGGAGAAATTGGGTGTATTAAATAAAATAATTATATTTTGGATTACTTTATTTATTATTTATACATATACTTTATTTATTATTTATACATTAGTGCAAAATAATTACGTATTTTATCTCTGTACGCCATCTATCATCCACCGCACTTGACGGTCACCAGCACTCATCTCTTCTATCATTTTTATATCTTGTTATATCTTTTATATTCTTGTCTATATTATTTTTAATGTAGTACACTACCTATATCAATGTTTATGTTATTATATTTTCTGTGGCTACGTGTATTTGTGCGTTTATGTAAGTAACATTTTATTAATAAAAGTATATTAAAATTTATATGACTTTACTTTGACTGACACGTTAATTGGGTATGTCGCTCCCTAAAGTTCTTCTACACCTGTTAATTTAATTATTATTCCGGCAATCTTCTCTCATACATTGCCTATATTCTAATACTAACTTTTGCCCGCGACTCGGTCCGCGTGGAATAGTTACTTTGGCATAACGCTAAATTTTACTCCCCACTTCATTTACGTAGAAAGTGAAAATATTTTTTAATTGTAGAATGTTAAGGAGCTATTTAAACCCTTATTTTGAAACATTTCTTATTGGTGTTTCACTTGTATTGGTCTTACCGTGATGTTATATAACCTATAGCCTTCCTCAATAAACGGGCTATCCAAAACTGAAAGATTTTTAAATTTAAACTTTTTAAACTGAAAGTTTTTTTTTAAATCGGATAAGTAGTTTGTGAGATTAGCGCGTTCAAACAAACAAACTCTTCAGCTTTATAATATTAGTATAGATTCCTGTCTATTGTTATGCTTTTCTGTGTTTTATTTTTTAAAAAAATAACATGAATATTTCATCATCAGGCTATGGCGCTTACCGTTTATCGAGAAAAGCCTGCAATGCTGAACGTCGCTGCTAAAGCTATCAATGGAATCTTCGACAGCCCAAGCGACGTCTTCATGAGGGTCAAAGCCTTGGACATCCTCTTCCGCGGCATAATCATCAACTGTGATAGAACAGAATTTGCTCCGAAAGCCGCCTGCACCACGATAAAGAAGGAAGCGCCTAATGGAATTGTTTTCGAACCAAATAATCAGCTTAGATTCTCTCTATTTGGTGTGGTTCGTAAACATTATTTATGCCTTATTTATTTGATTAAATTATATTCGAATAGGTTAAATAATAAAATAATTGAAACTTAAAATGAAGACTAATATAATGACAATAAAAAAATACGAGATTAAGCCGTAAAGGTAGTTTTGATTGGGTTAGATAGAGACAAATAACTTAATTGTATAATTGTGTACTGTCTTCTCTTATATCACCTTTTGAATTATATTCACTGTTAATATTACATGTTTCGTTCATGACTCGGAGATTTACTTTCTAAAACAGAATATCGAATATAATGTAGAGGTCGTCGTGTTATGAGATAGCACGCATTCACAAACCACTTTCACGATGTTAAGAATAAGAATAGAAACCAAAATCGTAAAGCTATGGATTTAACTATTGATGTTAAGACCGTATTGTCAATTCGCACGGGTCAGAATTACCGGCACAATCTTGCCGCGATTCAAGGATCAATTGTAATCCTTCCTCCTTAGTCTGTCTCTTCATGGTTGAAGGTCGTGTCTAGCTTGAGGCGGCGATCGCCTGATGCATCATACCTCTCTACGTCCTCCTGTCCACAGCGGTTCTTATAGCCTCGGTTATTGGTAGGCCTGTGAGCATCTTTACCAAATCTGACCAGCGGGTAGGTGTGCGTCCCCGTGATCTTCTCCCGCAAACTCGACCAACTACCATGAGCTTCTCCAGGTTATCAGGGTCTACGCTTAAACTTCGACAACAGGTGTCAAATACCTAATTCGAAGTGAGAAAGTGAAATTTGAATTAAATGGCTTTATTAATATTATTTTTCACGTTGTAATGTCTGCTAGTTCCGTCTAACAATTAACACCTACTAATAATAACAACGCGTTGATTTGAAAAGTCTATTGACAACACTTTGACATTGTATGTATAGAAATATTTTTTAAAACCCTGGTCGAAGCTCGCATTCATTCAATCAAATTGTGTCGAGGTGAGCGCTTATCTAGATATATGTTGTTTTTCTTTATATGGATTACTATGTAAGCGCGTATAAAACATTTATATTTATTTAAATATAGCTACCTGCCTTTGATAATGCTATGAAAAAACTCTGAAATGCCATAGATATAACTGAATAAAGTTTCAAATTTATTAACAGAAAAGGCATAGATCAGCGCATAGATCGCCAACAAACAAACAAAGATACATTGATTTTTGTAGATTTATGACTGCACAGTTGCCAGTAGTGGGATATCAACGAAAATAGGTTAAGACTAAGATTTTATGGTACAATTCGCTTCCTTAATCTTGTGATAACTAATAAGCCTTATCGAGCCACGTGGTCCTGATTCGATCATGTCTAATAACAGTTATGATATCTATTATTTTGAAATTCGTGGTCCCCTTACCCATAAAGAAATCTTACTTTTAATCCTTTTTGATGCAAAACGTTCACGTATATTTGAAAAACTGTAACCCATAATTGGATGTCACAGTAATCGTTTGGAACCTCTGGGTCTGCGCAAGAACTTCGCTTCTCTCTGTATTTTTTTTTTATTGCCTAGATGAGTGGACGAGCTCACAGCCCACCTGGTGTTAAGTGATTACTGGAGCCCATAGACATCTACAACGTAAATGCGCCACCCACCTTGAGATATAAGTTCTAAGGTCTCAATTATAGTTACAACGGCTGCCCCAGCCTTCAAACCGAAACGCATTACTGCTTCAAGGCAGAAATAGGCAGGGTGGTGGTACCTACCCGTACGGACTCACAAGAGGTCCTACCACCAGTAATTACGCAAATTATAATTTTGCGGGTTTCATTTTTATTACACGATGTTATTCCTTCACCGTGGAAGTCAATCGTGAACATTTGTTAAGTACGTATTTCATTAGAAAAATTGGTACCCGCCTGCGGGATTCGAACACCGGTGCATCGCTCAACACGAATGCACCGGACGTCTTATCCGTTAGGCCACGACGACTTTCAACTTTTGTACCGTATGTTCCATGGGGAGTGCTCTGAGGAATTGTTTGAGATGATTCCATGATATCGGTTTTGCCGTCGCACCGCCCGCCACCGGAGTAGAGTTCATCCATACTACCTGGAGCCACTGCGTTCATTCACAGTGCGTTTCTAGAGATCTTTTTTGCCACGTACCATCTGGCTTTAGAATGAGCTCCCCTCTATGGTGTTTCCCGAGCGCTATGACTTGCCGTTCTTCAAACGAGGCTTGTGGACTTAACGGCAGGCAGCGGCTTGGCTCTGCCCCTAGAATTGCTGAAGTCCATGGGCGATGGTAACCACTCACCATCAGGTGGACCGATTGCTCGTCTGCCAATAAGATCAATGAAAAATTCAATAAATAATAATAATACGCTGTTACATAGCCGGCTAGATCAGTGGTCGGCAACTCGCAGCTCTTTGACTAATCAGCTACGGCTCTCCCGCGAAAGATTCAATTCAGCAACGGAATATTACTTATTATCTTAAAACTGGCTCATTGAATATATTTCAATTTTCTGTTATCTATAATTGGTTCTTATGGTTGACAAGGTTACTAGACTCGTCCTAAAACTTCTTTCAGCGTAACAATTCGGTGGACCCTCACGTTGTGTCAGTCAAACGTGGAGTCCAAAACGTTATGGACGTCGGTCGAGTCGTGGCGATAGACGGGAAAACCAAAATGAACGTTTGGAGGGACTCTTGTAACGAGTACCAAGGTACTGATGGCACCGTTTTCCCGCCATTCCTGACGCACAAAGATCGCCTGCAGTCATTTTCCGGGGATTTGTGCAGGTTTGGTTTGAAATTCAGTTTTAGTTCGATTTAGTTTAGTTTCCTTTTAGCCTCTTTTAGTTACGTAGCGCGTAAGAGACGCTTCGTGTGAAAATTCAATCTTATTGCTCCATTGGCTTATACAAGACCCCGAAACTGTGATACTTTAAGACAATTTTTTTTGTATTGAATCTAGCGACATCTTGTAGCGAATGCCCCTGAACTTATATATTGTTAAAGTTAAGGCATTTAATTGTTGTATAAATAAACACAGAAAATTAATTAAAAAATTAATCATACAAGTCTTTATTTGTTAAAGACAAATTGATTAAACTTTATCAATATGTGGTTTCTGAAAATTTACAATATCCTTCATTAAGAATAAAATATAGGATAGGTAATATGTTACTGCCATCTACAGAAGCAATGAGAAATTAATCGAAGCGAAGCCATCTAGAGACCGATGCCCGTACACATTTTTGTTGAGTGCTTGAGTTGCTTATCTATAACCAATTTATGTGTATTATCTATGGGCTTATAGACCGTAATGTACACTGTTCTGTTACTTTATTTTCAGTATTTTGATAGTGAAAAGAAACAGGTAGACTGTATATTTGATTAGTTATTTTAATAATAAAAGGAGAATATAACAATTGAATGGAATAAACATATTTGTATTGACATTTCGTGGCGTTTTCCATTACCCTGTAGAATATAATGTTCCCATTTTACGAAGAACTACTTACTCATCTGTTAATATAAAATGAAAATATAAAATGGAATTTTTTCGCCAACAGAATATTAGGATAAATATATAATACATGATTAACGTGACCATTTTTTTTTTTTTCGTGTCAAAGCGGGACGCCTACGAAATTACGTGTATAAATAAATACATATACAGGATATGTCGGGATAAGATGTAATATTTAAGTGCAAAATAAAAAACATGGTCTAAAAAATGACTTGAAATAATTTATTATGGTATCTTACCCTCACTGACATCTTAATTCTTACACCAACTTGCCCTTCAAATAATATGTGTAAATAATTTCACAACAAAAAAACTACTTTTCTACAGCAAAATTAGAGTTACTTTAGTATGTATTTTGTAATACAATAAGGATTTGGGATCTGTAAGTATTCGGTAAGTTTCTAATAAACACATGCACAACAGATAAATGAAAGAATAATACAGGACGTATGGTCACATGATTGAAAAAGTATATTTTTTAGGTCGTTCAAACCGTGGTTTCAAAAAAAGACATCGTACAATGGGATTAAGACGAATCGCTATGTCGCCAACATTGGTGATTTTGCCAACGATCCAGAATTACAGTGCTACTGTGACAGCCCTGACAAATGTCCCCCAAAAGGCCTGATGGACTTGTACAAGTGCATCAAAGCTCCAATGTTTGTCTCCATGCCTCATTACTTGGAAGGAGACCCGGAACTGTTGAAGAACGTGAAAGGATTGAATCCTAATGCTAAGGAGCACGGAATCGAAATCGATTTTGAACCGGTAAATATTTAATGTAAACAAATTACATTCGCTTACGTTTTCGTAATTCGAAGTCACAAGTAAATAAAGCATTTACGATTGATGCTGTTGTGGAGTTTTTATTCGTATTCCTTATCAGCAAAATGTTACGCTATAAGCATAAATCTGGTTATCCATGATTCAAGTTTTTCCAATCGAACATCGTAAATTGTAATTGGCTGTATTTATTATCATTAATTTTTTATTGTCCTTGTAGGCAGACGAGCATACGGCCCACCTGATGGTGGGTGGTTACCGTCGCCCATAGACTTCAGCAATACCAGAGGTAGAGCTAAGCCGCTGCCTACTGTTTACATTATCAATGCAACTATCAGAAGATAAATTTCTTTGAATGGTTAATACTCCGAGTCAATACAAAATCGATTTTTACAAAGTCTACTAGTAAATATTTCCTGATACTGGCAAATTATGTGAGCAAAAAAAAAATATTTTTTTTTTATAATATAAAAGTTATTATAATTTCCAAATCTATTGCTTTTCTATGGTTTTAGATCAGTGGTACGCCGATGGTTGCTAAGCAACGCATTCAGTTCAACATACAGCTGCTGAAATCAGAAAAAATGGAATTACTCAAAGATCTCCCTGGAACTATTGTTCCTTTATTTTGGATTGAAGAAGTACGATTTATTCGAATCTATATCATAATGTTTTAAACTAAAGACGGGAATTGAGCCTCAATTGTGTTCTTAATAACAACTCTCCTGATCTATATACAAGAAAGTATCAATATATTGGTAGGAACTCTTGTGAGTTCGCACGGCTAAGCACCACTGCCTTATTTCTGCCGTGAAGCAGTAATGCGTTTCGGTTTGAAGGATGGGGCAGCCGATGTAACATTTAGAAGAAGTATCAGTCAATAAAAGGTTTTCATAAACAACACTGGTTACGTCACATTATCGTTTTCATTCTCTAGAATTGCCAATTTGTGAAATATGTGGTATACCCGATTATTTTACGATTAATTCGAATACTTTACCACGGATCTTAGATTTTAGGGGTTAGTCGGATCAGTTTCTTTGTTAACACTCGTTCCGATACCCACATATAGAAGATTCTAGTTTAGGGTCTTTTAATTTGGAACTGGTCTGAAGTCGTCGTGGCCTAACGGATAAGACGTCCGGTGCATTCGTGTTGAACGATGCATCGGTGTTCGAATCTCAGGCGGGTACCAATTTTTCTAATGAAATACGTACTAAGCAAATGTTCACGATTGACTTCCACGGTGAAGGAATAGCATCGTGTAATAAAAATGAAACCCGCAAAATTATAATTTGCGTAATTACTGGTGGGAGGACCTCTTGTGAGTCCGCGCGGGTAGTTACCACCATCCTGCCTATTTCTGCCGTGAAGCAGTAATGCGTTTCGGTTTGAAGGGTGGGGCAGCCGTTGTAACTAAACTTGAGACCTTAGAACTTATATCTCAAGGTGGGTGGCGCATTTACGTTGTGGATGTCCATGGGATCCAGTAACCACTTCACACCAGGTGGACTGTGAGCTCGTCTACCCATCTAAACAATAAAAAAATTAAAAATAAACATTTAATTTCTGTTTGTGATTTGAATCTAGAAAGTAATAAATAGAATTGAAATCAAAAACACAACAAATACTATATTTACTTCATATATCTACTTTTATAGGTTTAGTCTGCGAGGGAATGGCATAGAAAATAGTTCTCAAGATTTCATTTCTACGGCGCGTAAAATTTTATTACCTATAATAAAAAAAAATATGTTCCAGGGTTTGTCATTGAACAAGACATTCGTGAAAATGCTTAAAAGTCAGCTGTTTATACCGAAGCGTGTTGTCTCCGTGGTTTGCTGGTGTATGATATCTTTTGGCTCTCTTGGGGTCATAGCCGCAGTGATATTCCATTTCAAAGGTATTGGATGGCACCTAGCAAGTGCCTTATAGTTAACAAACTTCTATCTTCTTCTTCTTTAAATATAAAAATTTCTGTTCGTTAATCTCGCTAAAACTCCTGCTCGGCAGGACCGATTTGGCTTATTTTGGTCTTGAATTATTTGTGGAAGTCCATAGAACGTTTAAAAGGTAGATAAATTTGAAAATTCCCGGAGTTACATAAAAATAACAATTTTGTTTTTCCTTTGATGTGTCCCCCGTCGGACAGATTCCTTTTGTTTGTTTTAAGTTTATTTTATACAAAAGTTTAGGTCTTTTATTTATCGACTGAGGCACTACGAAGTCTGCCGGGTCAGCTTGTACTAAATATATATTTCTACAACTACGCCACTACAATTACTTATAGCATCGTTTTAACTTTAAAACAGTGTCTATTTGTACAAATCATCATAAATTATATTTGTAATACCAAAATTTATTCACTGTTCATATTATTGAATAAAATCTAGATTCAAAATTGTGAAATGCTTATCAGATGTCAATCAATGCTAATAACATCATTTTTCATTATCAGATTTTAACTATTTTTCGTTGAAATATTATTGTTTAACCATCAGGTGATATAATGCACTTGGCTGTGGCAGGAGACAACTCAGTTTCCAAAATAAAACCTGAAAACGAAGAAAATAAAGAAGTGGGCGTTATGGGCCAGAATCAAGAACCAGCCAAAGTGATGTAATGGATGATAAGGCGATTCTTTGGCATATTTCTGCCTTGGAGTCGTCGGTACCATATCATATACAACGGACTGTGGACGCAATTTTTTAGATTGATTATCAACCGACGTAGACTTTAGTGATGGTTTTAACTAACAACATTTTACTTTTTAGAAGGCATCAGCTTTGTTTAGTTTAGATTAGAAAATTATCATAATCTAAAATAAGTTCTAAAATTATTATTATTATATTCTAATTCGTAAGTTGTATTCTGTGTTGTGATAATCTTGAAATTTATCATCACCCGTATTTTCTCTTATGATTTAACTCAAAATGTGAGGATCATTAAAGTCAAGTTAATGGTAGCGCTCCTCATCTCAAAATTAATAAGTTGAAAAACAACCTTAACAATATTTCAAAACAAACTTATATTGTATAATATCAATATCAATCAATAGTATAATATCAATAGGCTATTTAAATAACTATAAATAAGATAAGACAGTGTATTAGTATAGTATTAGTGTATAGTAGTGGTATTAGTATATTAATTAGATAGTGATAGCGATTATTCTATGTGTAGTCTCGTTAGAACTCGGAATTACTTTATTATTTAGTTTTGTAGCAATAGATGTATGTGTTATTAATAGTGTAACGAAATTGCAGATATTATTATCTTCTATATTATGTCTAGAGCATTTTTAGCACTACGAGCACTCCTCCTCCTCGAGTCGTGTTCCTCATGTCTGAGGGTCGTGACCACCATCACCCATGAGCTTCAATCTTAAGATGTTTTTCCACTTTCCCCTGTCCACGGCGTCATGCAGCGCGCTGTACACGGTACTGTCCAAAGCGGTGCGGATCTGATCGGACCAACGAGTCTGGCTGCGGCCTCTAGATATGTTGCCTTCAACTTTCCCTGTGATCATAAGTTTTTCCAGGTTATCGCCGTCTTTCCTCGCAATGTGACCAAAATATTCGAGGATCCGCTTCAGACATACACAAACAATTTTATGTCAGATCAAGCAATTGAACAGTGCCGTTAATTAATAAATTAAATTAACTAGAGGTCCCGCAGTAGTTGAAATTCGACTATAATTAACTGGAATTGTAAGTTCGTACACTATTATAATTGTATTTTATGCTTCTATAATCACAAATTTCGCCAAGACTACACTATAAAAAATATTACAAAGACAAACTAAAAAAAAATATTCACTGTTGTTGCATGATTTAGTTTTGGCTACATAAACTCTTTTAAATCTATAAGCAGCTGTAAATCTTGGACGAACGCTTCACTTTCATAATAATCACATATTTAAATGTCCTCTCATCAGTCAGTATACGCTGTGATATTATTAATGTTGTTCTCTTAAAACAAGAACGTAAGTACGCTTGTACGATGAAAATGTAGGCACTATAATTTTTATATTTTTTTTCATTTTTTTTATATTTTTTTTATTGCTTATATGGGTGGACGAGCTCACAATCCACCTGGTGTTAAGTGGTTACTGGTGCCCATAGACATCTACAATGTAAATGCGCCACCCACTTTGAGATATAAGTTTTAAGGTCTCAGTATAGTTACAACGGCTACCCCACCCTTCAAACCGAAACGCATTACTGCTTCACGGCAGAAATAGGCGGGGTGGTGGTACCTACCCGTGCGGACTCACAAGTTGTTTTACTAAAAATAAATTTTACAAGCAAATTATCGAGGTACTTTAAATATGAATAGTTATATTTGGAAAGCTGCTAGACAATAAGTAATCATTTATCAACATCTTTACTTTTCAAAGTACCGTTTTATTACACAGGTAGGTAGATCCTTCCTTTTGTATGTTGGTAAATAATATTCAAGTCAAAAAAACTTATTTTAAAATATAATATTTACTTCGATTTTGCAGTCACACGCATAATCAAATCTACTTCTATCGTTTAATCTCAACTTTTTCATTAAATCTTTCTATATAATATATTATACATCTTTCATTAAATTTATTTTCAATAATTATGAACGAAATGAAACTTAAAATTGTAGAAATATTTTTTATAGAAAAATAGACGGTAGTTAGCACATTATTCAAATGTTCACTAAAAACACTCTAGTCATCCGCGAAAACCGTGATGTATTCGAAATATTGGAAATAATATAATGACAATGAATCACCAGAGATTAAATAATAAAAGTAATAAATAAAAATCGAAATACTTATTGAAAATAATATAATGACAATGAATCACCCGAGATTAAATAATAAAAGTAATAAATAAAATGACCTGTATATAGTAGCAGTGGCCTTCCCTATTTTTCACTTTACTCCGTAATTCATAACGGACTTTGTATGGCGGAAACGCGAGGGGTGAAGTTGTATGATTTGTTTTATTTTGTCTATTTAGTGTCTTTTCAGGTTTGAATGTGTAATAACGGTGGTTTATTAACTATTTAGTATCTGTGAAAGTACACAAATGTGGGAAAATGAAACAAAGGCGCTGGACGTAACTTCTCGGGATCCTCTAAAAAGTCCACGGAAAAAATCTCAGTAAATGACCACCATCTACTGAGATTATATATTTAAGCCCACATCATCTCATTTCATGTCATTTAATTTCATCCCAGTTGATTGATGTCTCAAATTAATCATCTTCATTTCATCTCACTACGTATTATCATTTTTCTTAAAAATAAGAATATAAATTAAAAGGAAACATGACTAAAGAATAAAGATCTTAGTTACCAGGTCATAAAATCCTTTAAAAAAAGTAATTCATAACCCCTACTTAGGTTAGACCATGTTGCGGGCTGTCTCAATCGGGTCTCAGTGTCCTTTCTATTTCTGCCGCCATACAATTTTATTGTGCATTCCGCTAAGATATCCGATACTGGTGGTAGGACCTCTTGTGAGTCCGCGCGGGTAGATACCACCACCCTACCTATTTCTGCCGTGAAGCAGTAATGCGTTTCGGTTTGAAGGGTAGGGCAGCCGTTGTAACTATACTGAGATCTTAGAACTTATATCTCAAGATGGGTGGCGCATTTACGTTGTAGATGTCTATGGGTTCCAGTAACCACTTAACACCAAGTGGGCTGTGAGCTAGTCCACACATCTAAGCAATAAAAAAAAAAGACTATACGATATTTATCGTCTTAAGAACAAGTGAAAACAAGCGATCCGACAATACCAAAGTTTGAATCTTGTAGACGTTTATCATTGTAAAGATAATAAATACATTACGTACACGAGTCATTTACACGATGAAGGAATAACATTCGATTTTAAGAGCGAGAAAGCCGTTTTACAATAAAATTAAGACTTTGAACTCATATGTCAAGGCGAGCATCCATGTTGTGAAATGTATGGGCTGCAGTGACCACTTATAACCAGCTCGCCTGTAATTTTTTATCTAACCTAGTAGAGCAATAAAAAAAAAGATTTAAAAGAATAAGCAATCAAAAATATCATACATTTTTTTAAATATCGCTTTAACATCAGCCGGTCTGTAGACTCGTTATTTATAAAAACCTTCATTATAATTTATAGACTATAAAATATTATTATTATTTTTAGGCAACAAACCACAGTACAGTCTAAGCAGCATAATATTAAAAGGTAGATAAATAAAAAACAGATGCTTAGTTTATTGGAATATGATTTTAATAGTCTTATAATAATATGTAGTATAATAATATAATTTAATAACACCTTCATATTTAATATCACTTTATTAAAATGTTATATTATAAAATAGCACACGCCGAAATTTTTGACTGTTAACTAAATGTTTTAGGGAAATGAAATAAAAAAAACAAATTAAATAATCATATTGTTTTACTTACACTATTTAAGTATCTTATCTTATATTTTTATATTAGGAAGCTATTTCTTTAAAGCGTGTAACTAATGTTATCTCACAATTTACTACGATTCACTTTCATCGAACTCTACTGTCCCAAACCACTCTACCATCTCTACCACTCTACGTTTTAAAGGCGAATCGAGCAAGACGGCATAAATATAATAATAATCACCGTAATATTTCAAATCAAATATCTTCCTGATTCGTCTCTCAGGCAGAAACTAAAGATCTTAATAATATTATAACAATTTCTCAAATAAAATAATACAAACAGACAAACCCTTTTAAAATCTTTAAGAATGTTTTTAAATCGATTAATGATTTATCAGTTAAATAAATAAATCACATATACTTTATTCATCTTAAGCTATTGGTAACATTGTTGGTAACTAATTAAACTACAACTGTAGGTACTTAAATAAATAAAACAAAATCGTGTAAATAAGATCTTAAAAGAACACTTTACCATCTTCCTTCCTATTCAAATAACCTATATCAATATTTACTTCCGCCATACACGTATTTTAAAGTATCCGTGAAGAGCTCGGGCATTTGCTACGCACACAATCACGTTTAGAGGAAAATTTCAAAGTCTGGTCTCTTAAGTCCTAGCGCACTCAATGTATATCGTCACCTATACACATAACCCACTGAGTTACTCGCCGGATCTTCTCAGTGGTTCGCGATTCCGATCCGGTGGTAGATTTTTTATTACTAGAGGTCCCGCAGTAGTTGAAATTCGACTATAATTAATTGGAATTGTAAGTTTGTACACTATTATGATCATATTTTATACTTCTATAATTACAAATTTCGCCAAGACTACTTTAAAAAATATTAACAAAGACAAACAATATTTAATCTCAATTTGACAGCAGACGTCAAGAACTAAAGTTTGACAATAAATAGTATGCATGCGTGTGTGCGTCAAATAGATGGTATGTAGTGTGTGTAATGTTTTCTTTATTGATTTAATGTATCTTTTATGCATTATTTAAAAAAAATATTAGCATTGTGCATTCTCTCTATATTCTCTATAAGTGTGGAAAATTTCATACTCCTCCGTCCGCGCAATTTTCGTAAAAAGGGATACAAAGTTTTTGCTTCACGTATTAATATATAGATTTTTTATTGCTTGGATGGGTAGACGAGCTCACAGCTCACCTGGTGTTAAGTGGTTACTGGAGCCTATACACATCTACAACGTAAATGCGCCACCCACCTTGAGCCCCGTGAGCTCACCTGGCACTCTATGGCTGGTCAAAGCGTAGCTGAAGTCTTAGGCTACCAGAGGATCGGTAGGGAAAAAAAATCGTCATAAAGAAGTATATAAAAGTGAACCGGTTACTTCGGTGTGCTAAAGAGCCTATTTGTATTCCCTAGCAAAATCAACTGGTATGCGAATCTTCGACCAGATCCATTGAGATGTTATTTACTGAAATTCGCACAAGCCTACGAGTTGAATTTCAATAAACTTATTTTCTCTCTATTTTATTTATAACAACACAGATATTATTTATATTGAAATAAAGTGTACATAATTAATTAGCTCTTATTTAACGAGCTTTGTGTGTTTAGGTTAAACCTATTAATAGGTCATTTCGCATGAAGAGATTATTTAAAATCTACTGGAACTGCCTAATTTGGAATGCAGATTAAATTCGTTATAAATTAAGTTATTTATAGACACGGTGAATTTATTATTAATGAAATAACTGTGATTTTAGTAAATATTGCACATAGCCATTTCTGATATTTAAAAATGATTGTTTTTGTATGATAAAGGTGAAATGGTGTCCTTATTGGCACTTCAGAGAAGATTTTTGTCGTGGTCTCATAAACGTAAGAAGGCGCAGGAGGGATCTATATATTAATACGTGAAGCAAAAACTTGGTATACTTTTTTACGAAAATTGCGCGGACGGAGGATTATGAAATTTTCCACACTTATAGAGAATACAGAGAAGAAGTGCACAATGCTAATATTTTTTTCAAATAATGCATAAAAGATACCTTAAATCAATAAAGAAAACATTACACACACTACATACAATGTATTTGACGCACACACGCATGCATACTGTTTATTGTCAAACTTTTGTTCTTGACGTCTGTTGTCAAATTGAGAATAGATTAAATATTGTTTGTCTTTGTGGTCTTTATTAATATTTTTATAGTGTAGCCTTGGCAAAATTTGTGGTTATAGAAGTATAAAATACAATAGTGTACAAACTTACAATTCCAATTAATTATAGTCGAATTTCGACTACTGCGGGACCTCTAGTTTTAATAAATGTGTAACGTGCGTAGCCAAGTATCTTAATATAATAATAATTAGAAGTAACTTTGCTCTAATATGTCTCATATTATACGAGGCTCTATGTCACGATTAATCAAGACACTGTATCTAAATTAACTGATTTGACCGTTTAGAAATTAACTAGAAAAAGTATGAAAAATTCATTCTAGAATTCTTCTAGCCACTCATGTAAAGCTTTCCTTCTTTAAGAACGGTTAGCTGGTAGAAAACTCAATTGTTGAGTTAAGCTCGCCATTTTTATGTCTTATCGCAATTACTGTAATATTAACTGTGTGTACAATAAAGAATAAAGAAAAAATAATTCACTGATTCATTATCTTTCGAATACGTGAAAATATATTGAAACTACTACATATAAATAATATTTCGTGTTTACTTTTCACAACTAAAAATTACAATCTCTAACAACAAAATTACAATATACACTCACAATCAACACTCAATTTTGGTTTGAATAAAAATAACAAAATAATTAACAATTTTCGTTCGAACGTAAAAAGGACAGTCTTTTTTAAAACATACATATGTACATACAATCACAATCTCAAAATATATACAAATAAATCTTACAAATATCACAACTCACAATTTTTTTTTCTGCTCCATCAAAGAATTGCCAATCAGTCCCGTCGAATTATCGAATAACATTTTCATTTGTCGGTTCTGTATGAAAACCGCGATTCTTTGGAAACTCGATCTTATCGCGAAGGAAATAAGTGCGTAGAAGGCTAAAGCGGACATCACAAATAGCATTGCCACATCTAACAAGTAATATTGGATGAAGGTGAGGTCCTTTGCGGGAGATTGAAGATGATAGGCCCCTTTATGCCTTATGACGTATTCCGTCCAGTACACGGCCCTATCCAAAGGGCTCTCCTTCTGGTCTCGAAGCAAATTCTGTCGATATTTAACTTCCCTCCTATATTTTGGGTTATTTATAACCTCTTGGATGGCTTCGTGCAGTTTGTCAGAAGTCAAATGTTGAAACTCTAGTTTTTTAGCGTAGCCGTCGACTTCTGCTTTCGCGGCGTTGGCATCGTGGTCGCAGAAGACCGGTATGGTGACGATGGGTACGCCGTGGTAGACCGTTTCGAACATGCTCAATAGACCGCCGTGGGTGATGAAGGCCTTTATCTTTGGATGACCTGTGGTATATTAAAGTTTTACTGTTATTAATGCTTGTCTAATGATCGAAATTGTACCATAATGACTAGACGTCTTTAGTAGGCTTAGGGCATCTTGTGAGTCCGCACGGATAGGTACCACCGCCCTTCCTATTTCTGCCGTGATGCAGTAATGCGTTTCGGTTTGAGGGGTAGAGTAGCCGTTGTACTGTAAAATCGAGACTTAAAACTGATGTCTCAAAGGGCACGGCGGTGTTTACGTTGTTGATGTCTATGGGCTCCGATAATCACCTACCTACCACCACGTCAGCCGTGAGCTCTTCCACTCATCTAAGTATAAAAACCTCAACATTTAGATTAATTTTATATAATAGATTTCAAAGGTTTTGTTACTGAAGTATTGAAAAAAAAAACCTTTTTCAATAGTTTGGTCAATACGCACTGAATCAAAAAAAAAGAAAATTGCTTTACAAACAGAGAATAAAATATTAAAACAATTGCTTTGTCTTAATTTTGTTAAGCTGACTTTCTGATTTGTCACACAAGAGTACGTCAATGTTTCCTTAACCAAAAAATAGGTAGCCAAGCATCAAACTAACAACAATTATCATTGAGATCTATGACTCAGAAATGAAGATTCAAAGAGGAAAGAATTGTCCAATGACATTGACATGCACAAGCGTGTCCTATGACAAAGAGGAAGATTTGTGAATAAACTAACTTACCAAGTAAATCTTGCTGTGGTGACCATTTCAATAGCTTCACATTCGATGGTATGTCGGTCATATTTTGTACCGCGTCTTGTTTCCATAGAACCCTTTGTGGTAGTCTTCCTAGAGCATTAATGAGCATCCGATGAGCTGTCAAAGGCATTTTCGATGTCTTCACGGAAGATCCCATGGAGACATACACAAAACCGGTGTCGCCTGTACCGGAAATCCATTCCTCTATTTCCTGTAGAAACAATATTCATCTTACTACTAACAATCACGCCACGTTAACTGGTCCCGTGCTAAGTTCGTAAAGAACTTGTGTTACAAGTACCAGATACCGGAAATAAATATAATATTTTCATTATACGCATACATATATTTAATATACACCCATAACCCTGGAAAGACATTTTATATTTATCATACAAATATCTTCCCTTGGCGGGATTCGAACCCGCGACCCCCTTGTGTAGTGACCATGTCACTTACCGCTACACCAGACGGCCGTTACACTACTACTACACTACCGACTACACTACATTCTACTGGTGGTAGGGCGGTTTGTGAGTCCGCACGGGTAGGTAGCACCGCCCTGCCTATTTCTGCCGTGAAGCAGTAATAGGTTTCGGTCCTCCTTCGGTTAGACCTCACGTCACAAGGTAGGTGGCGGCATTTACGTTGTAGATGTCTATGGGCTCCGGCAATCACTTAACATCAGGTGGGCCGTAAATTTTCCCAACCACCTAATAAGGCCACCACCCACCTAATAAAGCACATTGAGATTAAAATGTATTTTTCTTTGGTTAACCTGAGGAGGCGGGTGGGAGCACTTAGGCGGTTAACGGATTCAAAAGACAGTCCTGAGAAAACTGTTCTGCCCTTCAAATAGAAATAATGGAAACACAGCTATATCCATGAGCTTATAAACACTCTAACCGAAACACCTAGCATACGGTTTAGGATATAACTAGATAGTTTGGAATTAATTACTTAAATATATCTAAAGCACAGAATTGCGTACCTTTCTAGATGACAGATTGTTTTCACCAAATCTTCTAAATTAAGTACCCCTATACAAATATGATGATGAAAATTTTATTAGTCATATAAATTAAGTAAAAACTTACTGGATCCAATCTCTTCGGTTCGATGCAATGTATACAGGCAATCTCAGCCACATTCGGCAAATAAGGCCTTGGATACGACACAGTATAATGCGCGTTCTGGAGTATAAAGCTGACGTTCTTGGACATGTCGTACACGTGTGGCATCTGGCTACCGAAATGTCTTCTTAAGACCCCTTGAAGTATGGTCATGCTCACACCGTGGAGCGCCATCGCACCGATTTGCCACGCGGAGTTCATTGCTCTTTCAATGATTCCCATGTTATCCGTGAAGGCTCTTCCAAAGAATGGTGTGACGGAGTATGGCGCTGGGTTTCCTGCATTACTCAAAGGCATCGAGTAGAAGCCGACCGTGTTAATGTACATGAAAGGCACTTTCATTTTATATGTGATCCCCAGCGCGCACTCAGGGTACGTTCCGTCGATGATGATGAGATCGTAAGTTCTTCCTGACTGCAGGAAAGACCGCATCTCGTAGTCTTTGAGCAACGCGTCACATGCCTGAGGAAAATGTGTGGTGGACCTTTAATAGCTATACCTCTGGACTTTAATTTTGATAGTTTAAGTGCTATTAGTTGATTTCAGCAAGCTTATTGCCTTGGCATTTGTTCGTCAGCATAAAACATACATAATACTACACTACAGTCTTATCTCTTACTGTGAACAAGTCATCGTGCATTTCTGTTAAAAGCTAAGATTATGGTCTGAATGGTTAAGATATTACTCTTGTATTATTCAAGATTATTTGTCAAATAAATGTCAAATATATATGGTCACTTGGAAACTAATTTTCTAGCAGTCCAGAGTCCCCCTATTCTTTTTTTCCTACCTATTCTAGTAACCTCGAGGGGTTATTCTAGATTCACCAAACCAGTAGGTGAGCTCACAGGGCTCAAACCGGGAGTGTTGCTAACACTAGCCCCAGCAAGAGCAGCGCTTCGCAGAATCTACGTCCGGATCGGAAACGCGACCTACTGAGATGATCCGGCGAGAAACTCAGTGGGCTGTTTCTATTGGTTAATTTACTCGTCGAGCCCTTCGTCGCGAGCGACGGGTTCGCGAGGACGGTGACCGGTGCTTGTGGTGCCTAAAAGTACCGTGAATGGATCGGGAGGATCCGTAATGACGTGCTTAGGGCGACGTCGACTGTTTACGATTCCACCAGATCGAGTATGGTTGGGCTATAAGCCCAATAAACAAAAAAACGAAGCTTACATAAAATCATAATATTCGTCTGAGACATTTAAATCTTGAAACGATGTCAGGGATTTTGTTCTTAGTAACCTTAAATCGAAATACCGACCTCATATCCATAGCGAAGTATATCAAAAGCTGGCAAAGGCTCCTCTCCTCTCATTCTAGCACCAACAAGGTCCCAGGACATGTAGCTTTTAACGTATGATACCAGACCTTCTGGAGCTATTTCTTCTAACCCAGCGATGTGGAAATCAGGTGGAAACGCGCTTATGAAAGTAATATTGTGTCCTCTGTAATTTGAAACGTTTAATTATTAGTTTTTGTTTTGCGTTAGTTTTTCGATACGTTTTGTTCCCACGTATCCAACTGCCTATGAATCATATTACAATGGTAAATTAATACTAGAAATATAATATACTAGCGTCCCGCCCTCGCTTCGCTTCGGAAACTGTTATTTATTATTGATTTCTCCACTATTTAATGGATGTTATTATACATATGAACCTTCCTCTTCAATCACTCTATCTATTTAAAAAAACCGCATCAAAATCCGTTGCGTAGTTTTAAAGATTTATGCATACATAGGGATATAGGGGACAGAAAAAGCGACTTTGTTTTATACTATGTAGTGAAGAGACAGTTGTAAAATGATTTTATGGAAACTGCTCGGAAATGCTATGTAAATTGTTTCATTGATCTAAGTCGGGCAGCTTAACTCTCACCCAATGGATTAAATGGCTTCTGAAGTTCAGATCACGCTGTAACAAATTCCATTACTCACCGTTCACTTCAAACTTGAGCACGTTAACAGAAATAGTAAACAACCTGATTATATGTTAATTTGCATAATATCATAATATTCTAACGGTATTATTAATAATTGTATCGCTCGGCAGCGGTTTGGCTCTGCCCCTGGCATTACTGTAGTCCATGGGCGACGGTAACCACCACCCACCATTAGATGGGCCGTACGTTTGTATGCCTGCAAGGGCAATAAAAAATACATAACCATTTTTTTTTATTGCTTAGATGAGTGGACGAGCTCAAGGGCCACCTGTTGTTGAGTGCGTACCGGAGCCCATAGACATCTACAACGTAAACGCCGCTACCCACCTTGAGATATGAGTTCTAAGGTCTTACTTGTACAATGGCTGCCCCGCCCTTCAAATCGAAACGCATTACTGCTTCACGGCAGAAATAGGCAGGGTGGTAGTACCTGTGCAGACTCACAAGGTGTCCTACCACCACTAATTACGCAAATTATAATTTTGCGGCTTTGATTTTTATTACACAATGTTATTCCTTTACCGTAGAAGTCAATCGTGAACATTTGTTAAGTACATACGTATTTTATTAGAAACATTGGTACCCGCCTGGGGAATTCGAACACTGGTGCATCGCTGGATACGAATGCACCGGACGTCTTACCCCTTAGGCCACGACGGTTATAATAATAATATGTTATCGAAGCAATTTCCAGAAATAAATATTACAACAGAATCAAAAATGATTTAAGTCCACATTGTAATTCATGATGAAAAATTCAAGTGTTCCTATTTGACGAGCAGGGCCGGTAGCAATCAAATATAAAAAGGTAATGACCGTATAATGTTTCCACATGCGTCCGGAAACCTCTTTTACCTTCCAACCTTGGATAATACCCGCTTCTTATAAGGATAATTGCTGGCGGCCATTTGCTCTACTTTTCGGTGGGTCAATACAAAAATATAAAAAAATTTTTGTCTGTTAATTACAGCGCTGTCTCTTTTATTTTGGTTTATTTGTTTTAAAATGTATGGAAGACAAAAAATGTTGTGACACGAGAATTACATTGTAAGCCTATTCGCGCTTGTATGACAGTGCTTTCAGAGAAGCTCAGAGCTTCTAGTATTAATAAACGTAGTGGTTTTGAGTTATTAGGAATGAACTTTGTGTTACGCCGCTAAGAGTAACGCCATCTATTATCAAATAGTGGAAACACATGTCGAAGCGACTGGTTTTGCCGGGAATCTTCTCGATAATTTTAGAGATGTCGTACCGACTATAAAAGCGTTGCAGAGGTGGTAGGAAGGCAGTTAGTGATCGGTTCTACTCGGAGCGAAACAGCGAACGGATCACCTGACGCGAAGCGGAAGAAGTGAATGGAGAATTTTAAAGTGTTCGTTACGTGTTTTAAGTTTTTAATAGAATTTTAATATGTGCTTTGATGGAGTTTTATTTAGCCCGAACCCCATCCCATAACATTACGGGACTATCTTTCGAAGAACTTTTCATGGTGCTTGGGGGTATAAAAGCGGTGAGCGTCAGAATAACTCCGTCGCTCTAGAGATTCCAAACTGTCTGTGAGATCAGAATTATCAACAACCTAATAACCAAAATCACTCGTGCAAAGATTTTAAGTAAACATCAACTCTTTATCAAACTAAAATCAGAGAAACTTATCAGCTCTATATAATTTTCAATGTCATGCATAGCTTGTACAATCATTCGATTCAACTTCAGCTGCGTCCAACTTCTAAAGTTTCAGGGAGTTTTAACTCAAAATAACGTTATTATTCTGTTCGAAATTGTTCTCAAACGTAACATGGATCGGGAAGTAGAATTTATTTTTGTTGACTTTTGGTTCATAAGCCTTAAGATAGCAACTCAATTTGAACTCAATATTTATTGAAGACTTTGAGATCCTCAAAATTATAGAGATTCTATTTACATAATAACGATATGTGTACGCTCTGTAAATAATAAAACAATCTACAATGAAAATATTTTTCTAATTAAATTTGGTACTTTTAGAAAAATTAAAACAATTCCAATATCTGGGGACAACTAACTACAGAATCACTAACTACCAAGCCTAGAGATGATTCAAATATATGGTAGAGCAAATATCTATACTATCTCTGTAATCTGTCTCTCATATCTGAGAATCGCAAATATTATGGCATAAATAAATCCATATTTTTATCAAACAATTCCCCTCCATCAATTCCTGTGCATGACGCTTACCGACTTGAACTTCGATGAGAATAAATCCATTACTTCACCCCTCCACTTGGCTGGAGGCCAAACTCTGGCTGTCTTGCCCTCCGTATACCAAATAAAACATACGTCTACATTAGTACATTAGTAGCATGTAGGCACGCAGTCAACGCTCTTACAATACCTTTTTTTTTTTTTTTTTTTCCACAGGAGAAAATCGCCGGATCCCCACCCGCGCGGCAGGTGGGGTATGTGGGAGTTGAACCTCACTAAAAACTCCTGCCGCTCACAACCGGCGCCCTACCTCGGACCGGGCCGGAGCCCAGTCGGGGCTATTGAAACGGCGGGACAGGGTTGACGCAGAGCACATTACATCCATCCCACCGTCCCACGGACGCCGGACCGGTGGCCGCCAGCGAAACGACCACCGGTTCCCTCGTTCAGCGGGCCGAGAGCCCGCTTTGATGGCGCCGCGTTACACCTTCCCCCAGAGCGGTCGGGGGAACGCGGTCTACCATCACCCGGCTTCCTATTGCGGGTGAGCGTGCAGAGCACGCCACCCCTCGTCTGGGTCCCTCCCCGCACAAAACGGGTGGGACCCCTAGCTCTTAGGGGGCCAGGTCACGGATACGACCCCGGTCCCGACCCCCTGCTCGGCGGCGGCGGGTTTCTGCGTAGTGAGGAGAGCTTTCCCTCACTCGCCCCGCCGCCTCCTCTTACAATACCTTGCCACATCCTGTATTGCATCGAGAAGGTTTGCAGAAGTCATAGTGGATTTCCACTATACCAGACCCAACGGTGTTCTAATGATAATAATTAGCTATTTCGGCTCACGTTACATAAGTCGTTGCATTATGATCCGCGTGAAGCGACTTAAGCTAATCGTATCATATCATAACGCGAAAGATGTATTTAACTTCTAATCTGGATGTAACGCCTAATCTTATATCTTTAAACGAGCAATTCTTGTATATTAATATATATATATCATCTGAATCTGGGAAACGGCTCCAACGATTTTCAGAAAATGTTGTTTTATTCGTGTTTGCAATAATAAACTCTTCCCGACATCTATTGGCTAATAATAATACTAATTTTCTTAATTGAGGGCAACTAACCGCTTTAAAGACACAACAAGATGGCGTTATCAAAAAAAAAACCGAGCACAGCTCGGTCATCATCTAGTTCAAATTTAATTCTAAAATCTTAATCATCTTTATTTCGCACTAGCGGTCGGCTCCGGCAACGATATCTGACGTTGTTTTATTTTTTTAAATAAAAGAACACTTATTGCGGTATAACTATAGTAGTTAGACATATGCTGTTGCGACACTTCTTTTAATACGCTTTTTGTAAATAACAATGTGTTCTACAAAGTCGTAGTGCATTATTTTATTCTATCATCAATAGTTTTCGCAGGGCACACGATGTAATAATGAATATTTTAGGTATTTTTTTAACCCCTTGGGTTACTTTGGAGTTTTAGTAAGGATCCCTAATTGTTTTCAAAAAAGATTATTGCCTATGTCATTCGGGAATAGTGTAGCTTCCAAACAGTGAAATAATTTTTCAAATCGGTTCAGTAGTTTCGGAGCCTATTCAATACAAACAAACATACAAATCTTTCCTCTTTATAATATTAGTATAGATAGGCCTTTGTAGCTTTATTAAATAAAGAAATGTATATAATTGTTCCTCACCTTCGGGTAAGCCCCCCAGCAAGCGACCAGAACGGTATCTTATGTGACTTGGTCCCTCCCATTGTGATCATTAGTATATCACTGCCACACACTGATGCCACCAGCAGTATAGGCAGGCCTATTATTGGCCAACGAGTCCCCTGCAAAAAAGAAATAGTAAGATGAATATATTTCGTCAGATTCATTAAATATAATATAACTTGAAATGTTTTTAGATAATCGCTTTTGGTAGATGTTAATATTGCCTCGACGGCTGAACGAATTCACGGCCCATCCGATATTAAGTGGTTACTGGAGTCTATAGACATCAACAACGAAAATGTCACCGCCCACATGAGACAAACGATTTCTTGGTATTCTATGGTACACCATCTACCGCACCCTTTAAACTGGAATGCATAACTGCTTCGCGGTAGCAATTGGCAAGGTGGTACCTACCCGTGCAAGTTCACAAAACCCCCTACCGCCAAATATTATTATAATTTTTGGAGTTTACTCCTTTAGAATCGATTTACATATATAGGCCCGGGGTATGAAAATTATGGGGACCAAAATCGTACTAGCATGTCACACGAAATGCGTTATGCGCCTGATTGGCTCCTGATTGCGTGATGCGTGCGCGCGCCAATCAAAATCGTACTAGCATGTCACACGAAATGCGTTATGCGCCTGATTGGCTCCTGATTGCGTGATGCGTGCGCGCGCCAATCAGGAGCCAACGCGCGGCCGCGTTATCGCAGGTGACGCCGGGCTGCTGCGCCGGCAGTCCGCCACAAAGCCTCGTACTGATCGCGCGTTTCTCTCATTATTGTATTTTCATATATTTGTTAGTCGTTTGTTTTGTGTCTCGTTAATTTGTTAATAATCTGTAGTGTATCGTGTTGTCGTAATATAGAACTATTTCTCGTATTGTTTCGTTTAATTTTTTATATCCAGTAAACTCCAGTCGTGCGTCGGAGCGGACACACACACTTTTTTTCCTACCTAAGCTGGTAACCTTGACAGGCTATTCCAGCGTAACCTTAACTAGTAGGTGAGCTCACGGGGCTCAAACCTGACGACGTTGCTAGCACGAACCCTAGCAAGAGCCGTGCTTCGCAGAATCTACCACCGGATCGGAAACGCGACCCACTAAGAAGATCCGAAAAGAAACTCAGTGGGCTGTGTCCGAGGTTTAATTTACTAGTCGAGCCCTTCGTCGCAAGCGACGGGTTCGACGAGAACGGTGACCGGTGCTTTAGGTACCTAAAAGCACCGTTAGTGGATTGGGAGGATCCGAGATGACATGTTTTGGGCGACGTCGACTGCTTTCCATTCTTTCCGCAGGATCGGGACCAAATATTAAGCAATGTATCCTTATAATAGAAATGTAAATTCTAGTTTTGTTGTTTATTCCTCGCCCGCAAAAAAGGCAGCATTGTGGCCACGCAACGGCGGGCTCAAAGTACATGCTCCCGTTGGTAATTTAACTTTGTTGATAAAAACGATTATTATCACACCTCAAACAGACTATGGGAAAAATTTATTGGCCTGAAACATTTAGTTATATCGTTTGATTTCTACACTTCATATTGTACACAATATGCGATGTTACTTTTATAGAAAAAAAAAACGGTTGTCTGTAAATGCGTTTTATGGACGATAGTTTTACGTGACGACGTCATTAGCAGAACTATTCGAAGTACTCTGACGTCACGCGAGTTGAGAGATCAATGTATCACAAGCCAACGCTTGAGCCGATCGTGCCTCTTAATCGGTTGTTCCGCGCTCTCGCTTGCACGCTCAGGCGGAACGTGACACTTTTGCGTGCGTGTAGCCGGTGTTCATCGATTTATAAGACGTTATCACGTCAAAAAACATTCTAGAATAGCTACAGTAGGATAACAATGGCCTACATAAACGAAGTTACTGTCTATCCTTAAACGATAAATTTATTAAGGTTAACATAACAATAAATTTTTGTAATGTGTGAAGTGTATTTAACATACACGACTGTGTGCATTTTGATTTAACTGTTATATTACTTTTAACTGATATATAATAGTTTATGGCCAAACATAAACTCTCGTTTGAAAGTTTTTCGCACATAGATATAGATGAGTATATAGATGAGATGATTTACTGGTGGTAGGACCTCTTGTGAGTCCGCGCGGGTAGGTACCACCGCCCGGCCTATTTCTGCCGTGAAGCAGTAATGCGTTTCGGTTTGAAGGGTGGGGCAGCCATTGTAACTATACTGAGACCTTAGAACTTATATCTCAAGGGGGTGGGTGGCGCATTTACGTTGTAGATGTCTATGGGCTCCAGTAACCACTTAACACCAGGTGGGCTGTGAGTTCGTCCACACATCTAAGCAATAAAAAAATTCAAAAAAATATAGATGAGTGATATCACATACCGTTCGCGAAACAAAACATTAAAAAATATAGGTATCTAAAATCAGATTATGCTAATGCCTCTTCACTAATTTGTTTTTTAATAATTTAAAACACACAAGCAGATGTCATGATATATTGCGACCGCTACATCACGTCCCTTGTTCTACCATACATGAGATTTATGTTAATTTGTAAAAAAAAAAAAAAACAAGTAAAAAATCTTTGATTTTTCGTGCCTTTATGGAACGTACCTAAAATGGTAGAACAATAAAAGTTAATATATTTATCTTGTTTTGAGATCTGCCCTTATCAAAGTTTTGCTGTGAAACTCTGGTTACTTTTTAATTCTCAAATTTCAAATCTATCAGTTTTTACCTTCTACCTGTTTTAGTTATTATTCATACGTTTCATTCTAAGCTCACAACAAACTAACTTTTAAGTAATCTTTGTACAATATAGATTTTTTTTATATATACGAATAATTCAAGACCAAAATTAGATAAATCGGTCCAGCCGTTCTCGAGTTTTAGCGAGACTAACGAACAGCAATTCATTTTTATATACTTTTTTTTTATGGCTTAGATGGGTGGACGAGCTCACAGCCCACCTGGTGTTAAGTGGTTACTGGAGCCGATAGACATCTACAACGTAAATGCGCCACCCGCCTTGAGACATAAGTTCTAAGGTCTCAGGTATAGTTACAACGGCTGCCGCACCCTTCAAACCGAAACGCATTACTGCTTCACGGCAGAAATAAGCAGGGGGCTGGTACCTACCCGCGCGGACTCTCAAGAGGTCCTACCACCAGTAAAATTATCAGCTCCATCGCGCGATTTTACTTTAAAAGCGACTGTCATTGAATATACAGTGGGCAGTGGAGGTAAATAAAGGCATCTTATAAAATACTGAAATCACGTCTGTATAAATAATAGTAAATATGAATTTACTATTATCTATTTACTATTTACTATGACTATAAATAATTCATACATGTGCTTCCATTAATTGTGATCTACGTACAATTCTGTTACAAAGTTATTTAATTTTAAAATATTTTACTTAAATAGCGCTTATTGAATCAATTTAATGCGTATAACTAAAACTAGAAGAACGATATAATAAACTAAATTATAAACTAACAAACTTGATAAAAAATAGTGATCACCAAACTGATATTTTAACATTATGTTAATCATTGTGATAATTTTGATATTGTGTAAATTATGCCCTCTTTGCCTACTTTTAATACACAACAGAGGAAAATAGAAAATATACTTTAAAGCGGTAGATGAGGCGTGACAACATAATACAATCTTTTCTTTTATATCTATATATTAATACGTGAAGGAAAAACTTTGTATCTTTTTTTTTACGGCCGACCGAGAGGACTGGTGTCCAGTCCAGCGTCCGGAGGGGGAGGGTGATGGGAGAGATGTGCTCCGCACTAAACGCTTCACCACACTAATACCATGTATTTGACGCACACACGCATGCATACTATTTATTGTCAAACTTTTGTTCTTAACGTCTGTTGTCAAATTAAGATTAAATATTATTTGTCTTTGTTAATATTTTTTATAGTGTAATCTTGGCGAAATTTGTGATTATAGAAGTATAAAATACAATCATAATAGTGTACAAAATTGCAATTCCAATTAATTATAGTCGAATTTCGACTACTGCGGGACCTCTAGTAAAAATGATTTGCTGATCGTTTGTCTTGCTAAAACTCGAGAACGGCTGGACAGATTTGACTAATTTTGGTCTTGAATAATTTGTGAAAGTCCAGAGAAGGTTTGAAAGGTAAATAAATATGAAAATGCTCGGAATTAAATAAAAATAACAATTTTGTTTTCCGTTTGATGTGTTGTCCCCCGTCGGACGGATTCCTTTTGTTTGTTTTAAGTTAGTTTATTTTATACAAAAGTTTAGATATTTTACTTATGGATTAAGGCACTACGAAATCTGCTAGGTCAGCTAGTAAATTTATAATTAAATGTTAAATCATAAAGTAAACTTAACTAAAATTATTATTCTACTTGAAAAAAAACCATAACGCTTCTATCTAAACACTCAATTTTAATGCTCATCACTTTTTCGTATCACAGTTTTTAGCTAAAAATAATTCTTAAGCTCAAAAGATATTTCTTCACGACTTGAACACGGGAAACACCTAATGTTGTTGTTTTAAAATTAATATAATGCTTAATCTTAGCTTGACCGAACCTTGAAATGTGCTAGAAAAAATTAGATCCTATCGTATTTTATATAGTATTTGAATCAAAATAGAAACAAAATAAGTATATTTACATACATTTCACGGGTCAATGAACTTGAATATTCCCACGGCATTTGAAAACGGAAACATTTACCACGGTGTGTATTGTGTTTTTGTAAGAGTATATTTACTCAATTACAATCAGATTCACACGTGCGGAAATCCTAATTTAAGCTATCGTCATTGGAATATCAGCTTTAGGGAGTGGAGAGAATGTCCTATCACCATAACAGTTTTTAAAACAGAATCAGACTGAATAAGAGCAGAAGAAATCCAGGTCTCCAATGCATCGGAATAATGGCCACCCTACCCAGATCGTATAATGGTGACACATACCAGTGGGAATCTAAATACCAATCGAGCAATGTATTAGCGTTAGTAGTTAATTGCATTAACAAGAAGTCGTTGGTAATTAAATTAAGGATTCAATTGTATGCAGTGAAGCTAATTAATTGTATTACTGAAAAATAGGAAACTATGTCAT